TTACACTTAAAGGATACCAGAAATTCCTTTTCGTGACGACTTTTTGCAGTTTAAAACCAACTTGATCATTATGTGATCTCACTATGCTGAACGAATGACTTCAAATCCGATTAATTGGATGAGGTCAGCTCTCGCTATCTAGCTTTTATTGTGAATTGCGATGCTTTTCAGCGGCTGATTCAATTGAATCTCAGTCACATAGCAGTATTGAAGGAACGAAACATCATTCAGCACATGATGAGTCGGTAATAACTGCCTGGGATATCAACGATCCAGTCTTCCTCACCAATAGCACTGATGCTGGTTGGCCAGTGATACAAGGTGGTGAACTGCGACAAACAATTGAACAGATACCTGCGTTAGTCCCAGAAGGCGGCCATATTCCACCCGAAAATGTTAACGTAACAGTCAATTGCCTTGAAAATGGTCTTCAAGTTATTTTCAAAACTGGAGGGCAAGTAAGCGATCTGAAATGCTCTTCCTCCTTAAAAGCAAATAACACTGAGCCATTTCCTCCATTTATTCGCGGGAACAGTTGCAAGATGCTCNAGTTAGTTGCCAGCATGAAATAAGATGGCACCCATTGGTTCATCGGTTTCAACTGAACAAAATCGGTTCATTCTAAAATACGAGAGCATTGATGTTTCAGTATGATATTCATATCTTTAAAATTTTTGCTGCTCATGACGGCTTTATGGTCATTTAATTGTCACATTGATTTTCGTCGATCAGTGATGATATGAATGGTTTCATATGCAATTTTATCGAATCGAAAAAGCTTTGAAAGCCATCAAAGTTTTCATCAGTTTAGAATTATACGGGCTCGGTTTATGCAGCTGAGCGTTTCTCACAATGTCATGTGCTCGTTAAGCAATCGAGCGAATTCTCGCTGTTCGTCCCTCGCCCACTCGACGTCAATCCGTGTAATGCTATTGAAATAGTCAGTTAGTTTATTTTTCACTGGTGATTTTCTATGCATTTATTCTTTTAACATCGGATTCAATAGCTTTTCGTTTGGAATGGCATTAAGAAATTTGAGTGTCCAGTTGGAATGATCACGTGAGATTTCAGAACGATACTTTAACAGTGGTGATCGTTATGTCAAACGATCGCGTTACGCCGCTGGATGTAACCACTAAAGACGATCTCTTCTATGATATTAAATGCGTATATCGAAACCAAGACGAAGATATCGAGCAATCTGTTAACGTGCATTCTGGACTTGTTATAAGGTAACGTCCACACACTCTTTTGGGCATGAACAAGATTTTCTTTAGTAGCACATAGCGATTTACCGTGTTGCATTTCGACATTGTCAGGCAAATTTTGAACACAATTCGAGCTGATCGTCCATTTCGGTTGCTAATTGTTAAAATTTAGCCGCTTATGAAATGAATGAATAGGATACAATGGAGCCGTTGCATGCGATCGTAGAGGGTGGAATAAATTGAAAATTTCGTTATTTAACCATGAATGCTCTAAACTTCAGTGGCCCTGATCCAAAGTCGATCGTATCGTCCTATAGTCGACGTTCGTTCAGTCAGCAAGCACATGTTGTATTGAAAATAACAAAGAATGATCGTCCTGTTGAAAATGTCGTCATTGGTGACGAACTGACAGCCGTTATAGAGAGTGATGTTGAACGTAAGCATTTCGAGTTGGATTTTTCTCTCAGCTATTCGAGCTTTTGCCGCCCTCGGAAAATGGATGAGCTCAATTTATTCGTAGTGAAATCGAAGTGCATTCAAAAGTAACACTCAAATGAATGTCACAGAAAACGATTCAAATGCCACTTCTCGCTGTCTACAGTTTTCACAAAATTCGCTGTGTTCCATCTTCGTTGACTCATGTTTGCTCCCATAAACAGTTTCCAATGCCATTTTGCAGACGTTAACAGTCGCCAGTCATCACGACCTAAAAAAAAATTTTTTTCTAAACATTGTGCGTTGCTGTTAAGATTTATGCCCAAAAATGCTACCACAAAAGAAGCGTTTTTCGTAACTTACTCTTTTTCAGCCGATCGTCTTAGGGTAATCGACTGCAATGCTATGCGAATTGGTGATGCGGGGTCACAGCGCAAAACAATCACACTCATTTCACGAGGGTTTCCGCATTCGTTTTTTTCCCCATAAATATTGCCAATTTCATATGACAACATCGCTCACATCATGAGCAGT